TGGCGAGACAAGCGAAGCTTCGGAGCGGAATAAAGTGAATTAGTGTGTTTAATTATTAGTGTTTTAAGTTTTAATTTGTGTAAAGTAAATTAAAGTGTTAATTTACCTAGGTGGATTGAAAAGTACTCGGCCTAACACAGATCCATTCAATTCTAAAAAATCAAATTTACCCACATTATTTAGTTCAGTTCAGACTAGTTCATTGTGTGAAGTTCGAAACGTGTGCGATAATTAGTTGTGATTTTATAAATTTATTAAAAAAGTAATCTGACATAATTTCCGCGAATGGAGCAAATCGAGCAGCGTGCCGTCATTAAGTACCTCCATAAGAAGGGGCTATCATCAAAAGCCATCCATGATGACATGGTCAGTACATTAGGCGATTGTGCTCTGTCATATTCATCCGTCAAAAAATGGATAGCAGAATTTAAGCGTGGTAGAGAGAGTGTGAAAGATGAACCCCGCTCTGGAAGGCCTTCGACGTCAACTACTGACGAAAATATTAAAAAAGTACTTGATTTAATAATGGGAGACCACAGATTAAAAATTAGAGAGATAGACGAGATTATAGGCATCTCTTATGAACGAACTCAAAACATCATTGTCAACGAGTTGGGTTTCCACAAGGTGTCTGCGAGGTGGGTTCCGCGACTGCTTTCAGTTGAACAAAAAAGGACGCGATTGACTATTTCACGCGACTGTTTGGAGTTATTTGAAGCCGATGCAGATGATTTTTTGAATCGTTTTGTTACTATGGACGAAACATGGGTTCATTACTGTACACCGGAAACAAAACAACAATCAAAACAGTGGAGAAGACCTGGTTCACCACCCCCTAAAAAAGGCTAAGTCGATTTTGTCGGCAAATAAGGTGATGGCTTCAGTATTCTGGGACTCGAAAGGTGTGATTATGATTGATTATCTTGAAAGGGGTCAGACTATAAACTCTGATTACTACTGCACCTTACTACGTCGTTTACGAGAGGAAATAAAAGAAAAACGTCGAGGAATGCTCAGAAGAAAAGTCCTGTTTCATCAAGATAACGCCCGTGTTCACACGTCAGTACAGTCAATGGCTGAAATTCACAACTGTGGCTTTGAACTGTTACCGCATCCGCCGTATTCACCTGATCTGCCACCATCAGACTTCTTTCTGTTCCCTAACCTAAAAAAGCACTTGGGAGGTCAAAGATTTTCGACAAACGACGAGGTCAAAGCAGCTGTAGACGCATATTTTGACTCTAAGGAAGAATCATTTTTTTTCAACGGTCTAAATGCTTGGAAGGGGAGGTGGCAAAAGTGTATTGAACTTGATGGTGATTATGTAGAAAAATAAAAATATAACTGATTTAGTATGTGTTTATTTTCTTGGTTAGGCCGAGTACTTTTCAATCCACCCTCGTAGGTAATTTTATCGGCAATTTTTATTGTCACGAACCTCAAGCTCGTAACAGTACGTTAATCCATATTTGAATTAATTGATTTAATAATTAAATCAAATTATTCAAAACTTCTTTAAAAAAATCATAATAAAATTAATGTAATTTTTAATAGACGGCACTCCGCTCTCTTTACTGCTAAGACGCCATGTCAAGACAAGTAGGAAACGGAAGCGAACTTGACAATTTAAATAACTGTTGGTATTTTATTTTTAATAGTATCCTATTATTATTTCAATATTGTAAAGAAAGCTTGTTTTATTAAAAAATATTCTTTAAAACAAAAAATTATAGGTATTTTACATAAAACATATACATATATACATAAACACTCACGCCTGTCACCCAGAGGGGTAGGCAGAGACTACAGACTTCCATTTGGCACGATCCTAATAATAATAATAAAAAACCTTAAATAAGATACACAAAATATAATGAAATAATACAAGTGACACAAAAAGAAAAAAAAATAGATCCTTAGAATTTAAAAGACATGCACAGATGAAAAAAAAATTTAGCAGAGAAGTAACGAATTGACATCTATGAACACTTATGCAAGTACTGTTAACAAATTCTCCGTTTCTTCATAAGACTTTAGTTGAAGCCATTTTCTGAGGGCAATGTTGCAGTCATGCTTATTCATATAGTATATATGAACAATTTTGTTTACTTTATTATATAAATATGGACCAAGAAAGCAAAAATATTTTTTTATAAATTTTGTGTTGGGCTTAAAACTGGACTTAATCACAATGTCTTTACGACGTTTACATTTGATTTTGTCAGGGTCATAATTTATACACTGATGCTGTTTTTTTATAACATTTAGAACAAATAGTTGGCGAACAGTTAGTACTTGGCAGTTATTGTAGAGTAATATTGTAGGATATTGAAATGGTTTAAAAGTGGAGACCTTTAAAAGCGCTCTTTGAGCCCTTTCTAAAGAAACCATGTGCGTTTTTAGAGCCCCACCCCAACAAGAAATGCAATAAGTTAACAAAGATTCACACAGAGCAAGATACAGCTGTTTCAAAAGATATGGTTGCACTACATGTCTTAGATTTTTAAAAACATATATAAGTTTGCGGATACGATTTTTTAAATGTTGAATATGGTGTTCAAAAGATAGATTTTTGTCTAGAAGGATACCCAAATACCTGACAATCTCAACTCTTTCCAATAACGGACATCGGCAGGAAGTGAGAGAGCTAGGATTTTTTAAAATACAGCTATGTGCACGTAGAGAGAAATCGTTTCCTGGTTGCGTCACATCACGAATGGAAAAGGTCAGATATTTGGTTTTCTCCGCATTTAAAGTTAATTTATTAGAGCACAACCACCTTTGTACAGTATTAAATGAATTTTGGGCAGCTTCAAAAGTTTTTTTCCAATCACCCTCTGCAAAAAGTAGCACAGTATCATCTGCATAGCAAATAGACTTTCCAGAGATGAGCTTCATTTGACAGAGATCATTAACATAAATTGTGTATAAGGTGGGCCCCAGTATACTGCCCTGAGGTACACCGTAGGTCACTGGTAAATCTGAACTTCTGTGATTACTAATTTTAACACTTTGCAATCTATTTTTCATGTAACTCTTAAATAAATTTAACTGCTTTCCACGTACACCAAGCCTTTTCAGCTTTTCCAGCAAGATAGGCACAGAGACCGTATCAAAAGCTTTCGCTAAATCTAGAAAGATCGCTAAACATCGTCTGCCTTTGTCCAAGTTTTCTGATATAAACTTAATTACGTCATGCATAGCACCATCTGTGTTTTTACCAGATCTAAAGCCATATTGGTTTTTAGCGAGTAGATTGTTCGTCTCTAAATAGTTGATAAGGCGTTTATTTATTATTTTTTCTAATAATTTGGACATAGCCGGGAGTAAAGCTATAGGTCTATAGTTAGTAACTTGATCTCTGCCCCCCCCTTTGTGTATAGGGATTATAATAGATTTTTTAAAAGCTTCGGGAAATACACTATATTCCAAGCACCTATTAAAAATATGCGTTAATATCGGTACCAGTATATTTTTATTATTTTTTAGAAAAACATTTGAAATATTATCCCATCCAGTGGAGCAATTGTTTTTGAGATTCATGATAAGTGATTCAATTTCAGATTCATCAGTATTCAACATAACGAAAGAATTACTAGAAGTCGACATGTCGCTTGAGTCGGTTAAATGATCAGTATCTGCGGTTTTTTTAGCTAAATGTTTTCCAATGTTAACAAAGTAATTATTTACACTATCAACGGCTAAGTCAGCTGTTGCATAAGACTTCAATAGTTCGTCAGCCGCTGATTTAGGTTTATTAGTATAGGTTATATTTTTTTAGAACATTCCAGAGCTTCCTTTTGTTATTACCAGCACCTAAAATTAATTCACTTTCATACTTTCTTTTAATATTTTTAAGTAAGTTATTACAAAAACACTTATACCTTTTGTAAGTTATTTGTATGGTATTGTTGTTTGGGTGTTTTTTGGCTTTCTTAAAAAGGTTATCTCTATTTCTAACACATCGAAGTAAGCCTGATGTCATCCAAGGTTTGATAATCCTAATTCGGTTGGCGTATATACAAATATCAGTGTTTTTGTTATGTAGTTTAGTGATTATCTCAATTAACCGATTTACGGCGACGTCAGGATCATCAATATCATAAATAAAACTGAAATCTGTGTTTATCATATCCTTATTGAGGTTAGAGTGATTTAATTTAGAGTAGCTGTTAGTTTTTGGTTGAGAAGTGGGATCAAAATTAAGACAAAGTAAAACAGAGCTGTGGTCGGTAATATCAGACTGGATGATCAACGTTAGAGCGGGCTTTTTAGTTTTTAATAATACGTGATCGATACAAGTTTTGCTAACAGGTCTAGTAATCAAATAATGTGCTGGCATAAGACCATAAAATGCCGTCAAATTAAGATATTTTTCTGTATGTGTATCCATATTACTCGTTGAGATGTCGAAATTTATGTCTCCCATGATAACGACATTTTTAAACAATACCACCGATTCTAAGACTTATTCCAAAGAGATGATAAATGAATCTGGGCTATTATTTCTTGAAGGGGAACGATATATGGCAATGATTGCGAGATCTACTCCTTTTTTAATTACTAAACAGCTTGCGCCCGTAAAATAAGGTTCCTCAACCGTGACACCGAGACTATTTCTTACATAAACTGCGACACCATCATTTTGGTTAAAACATTTTTTGTTAGTATATCCAATATAATTGTCTAAAGTAGGGATATTTGGGTTACATAATAGCCAGCATTCGGTAAGTATAATTATGTCGCAAACAATTTTGGTTCTTTCCAAAAGCAAAGCAAAATTATCAAAATTACAACCTATACTTTGTATATTTTGAGTTATAATTTTAAGGTAATTTTCAGTTTGAGGCACATGTGATTGGCAAGAGTCAACGTCTATTGAAACTGCTCTAGATACCTCAATGGAGTCAAGATCACCAAAAACTGCTAATTCGTCGAAAACGCGTAAAAGCAATATAATGAACCGTAATCTTTGTATACCTCTTCGATATTGAGATATAATGTGTGACTACAGAAGTTAGTTAAATATGATAAAAGTGACTCAAGCATTAATAAATAAAGGTCCCTAATTAAATCACAGTTAATCGAAATGGCTTCCTCATTATTACATTCACGTCTTGGTATCAATCTAAAACAGCACTCATCGTAATTAAGTAAATTAAGCCCTTGACAGGTATATTCCTTAAATTCCATATGTACAATATAAAAATAACTTTTTAATAAATTTTGTACCTGCACCATTGCAAAATTAATACAATTTTCATACAAGTCCAAAAAAACAATATGGGATGTGTTATCACCCGTATAATATAAGATATAAAATTTTAGCAGTTTTTGTAAGAAGCATGCATCATATAGTAGTTTATTATAGTTACTTAGATATTGAGTTTTTGAGACTCTGAAGTTCCTTCTCATGGTCCACCCGTACATAAGGTTGTTTCTCGTCCTTACGCAGATAGATAACGCCCCTCGAGGTCCAACAGTACGTGAAATTATATTCCTTGGCAAATTCGCGGGCAACAAAAAATAATTTCTGCGTTTTGTGTGTTAATGCCTCAGAAACATATATTGGCTTACTAGTACCCGGTAAATTTAGGTGACTTGTATTAAGCTTTTCTCCTTTTCCCTTATTACGATTAAATTCTTTTATAGCATTTAATAGGGCTTCTTTTTTTATGACGCTGTTTAAGTCCAAAATAATAGGACGAGACGTTTCATGTTTGGAGAGTATGCGATAAACATCCCTTATATCTGATTCTTGAAGACTGCAGTTCACTGCCTTCGCCAAGATCTTGACAATATCGCATAAATCAGTTTTGGACTCTGGTCTATTATTCTGCTGATAAATTCTTGGCGTGTTTCGTATTTCTACAGCTGTAGCTCGTGATCTCTTTTCCAAAAGCTCAATTTTTTTCTGACACACCTCTCTTCTCATTTTACTAAATACGATACCTACTTAAATAAAACTTCTTTTTTATTTTGTGCTAATTTATAGTAGAATATAATTCTGGTACTGATGAAGTAAACTTGGTATCAAATTTAGTGGTTAAAGTTCTCATCACTATTTGCTAATAAGCAAGTGTCGCAACCTTGATTTTAGCCAATTAGCGTGCATTTCAAGCCGCCTCCCCCGTATCGCTTACCTCAGACTTTTGACAGACAGTGAAATAATACTAGTTTTTACGGAATTTATCGCGTATATTTAACTTTTTAAATACCCGACGTTTCGAGAGCTTTACAGCACCCATGGTCACGGGAAGGACTGAGATGTTCAACGTCCAGCTGTCATAGTTAACCGCGGTTACCATAGATTAAAATTTAACTTTTGTTCCGATCTACACAGTATGAACTTATGGTATCATGGAGTCTTGCAGTAGTATGCTTGGGTTGGGATTTAATTTTATTTATTATGGGATCCCAAGCAGATCGTAGCACCCAGCCATCTTCTCTATTGAAATTAGGATGTTTTTTGATTTCAATAGCCTCGCGAATCATCCTTGGAAGGAATCGGTGTTCTTTAGCGAGGATTTGTGGTCTATCAAATCTGATGTAGTGACGGAGGCGATCCTGTACATGTTCACAGACTGCAGACTTCCCGGAGCGTCGATTCTTCACATCAGCTATATGTTCTTTGACGCGGGTTTTAATTGATCTTTTAGTTTGTCCTATGTAGGAGAGACCACATTCACAATCAAGCTTGTACACTCCTGCATCTTGCAGAGGGACGTTACACTTACTGATGGTAAAAACTGACCAATCTTCTTCGGCAGCTTGAAGTATGTTTTGATGGAAGCGCGCTTCAAGATGTAGCCAATCTTGTCAGTGACTCCTCTAACATATGGCAGTACAGCAGGTACACGCTCGACTGTGACCGGTTTCACTCGTTCTCTGTGACGTAGGCGCGGGACCCGAAGCTTGTTGTCATGCAAAACTTGCTTGACGTGTTGGAGCTCGGCAGCCAGGTGTTTACTGTCACAGATCCCTCGTGCTCTCTGAAACAAAGATTTACCCACGGTAGCTAACTGTGAAGGATGGTGGTGAGAATCACCGTTTAAATATCTATCTGTATGGGTCTTTTTTCTATACACAGTATGGCTCAAGGTGTTATCAGGATTCCGAATTACTAACACATCTAGAAAAGCTAAGGAATTGTTTGCCTCTAACTCCATTGTGAACTGAATTTTGGAATTTATAGAGTTAAGATGGTCTAAAAATGCAGTTACTTTATCTAAAGGTAGAATTGTGACACTGCAAGACTCCATGATACCATAAGTTCATACTGTGTAGATCGGAACAAAAGTTAAATTTTAATCTATGGTAACCGCGGTTAACTATGACAGCTGGACGTTGAACATCTCAGTCCTTCCCGTGACCATGGGTGCTGTAAAGCTCTCGAAACGTCGGGTATTTAAAAAGTTAAATAAACGCGATAAATTCCGTAAAAAACTAGTATTATTTCAATGTGTAGTGTTCGCGTAAATATAAGAAATCATTTTGACAGACAGGTTTGGATGCAGAAGTACATACATTAGACGTTTATTCAGGCTGTGTAGTCGTTGTGACCAGCCCATCGCCATTTTAGCTTCTGTGAGTAGCTGAGAGCGTCGATGGCTTAAGTTTTCTGTCTTATGGCAATATGGCCGATTTATTTTTTCTGACTTGTTATGATCTTATTTTTTATTTTCCTAGTAAATTTTCAGGTTTGACAGGCGTATATTAGTGAGGGGAGTAGGCAGTTGTTCATGACTTTGCTATTCAGCATTCAAAATTTCTTCAGTCCAAAATTTCTTCCAGGTGATGTTGACTCTTTCTGTTCGTTGTTGTGTTGGTTAAATGAGATTTGTTTACCCAGATATATGTATGTATCAACATAGGTAGACAAATTTTTGATATATATAGTATGATTTATCATAACATTAGTTTTATTTAAGTTGATTTTGTTGGTTTGTGCTTTCTGATAGCAAAACTATATCGTCAGCGAATCTGATATGACTCAGGTAACATCCGTTTATGTTTACGCCGATTTTCTCCCAGTTTGCGAAAGACTCTAGCACCGCTATAAAGATCGGGAGTGAGACTGGGTCTCCTTGCGTTACACCTCCTTTTATTTGTATGAGTGGCCCAGTTGTCTCTAAATTCACTCTGCTAGTACTGTTGTCATAGATGTTTTTCAGGACCTGTATGTAGTCTAATACCACTTCTTAAGAGAGTAGAGCTTCCCAAATCGATGAGTGGCATAGAGTTTCGAAAGCCTTTTTAATAATCAATAAAGACAGCATAGAGTAGTGTGTTAAACTCTTGGAATTTTTCTATTATCATCTCTAGCGAGTGTATATGTTCAACTGTGGAAAAACATTGTCAGTAGCCAGCCTGTTCTACAGGTTGGCATTTTTCTGTGGTTTCTTTAATTTTTTCTTAATTATGGAGGAGAAAAATTTATATAGTGAAGGTATAGCAGGCTTATCGGTCTGTAATTACTAATGTTGTTTGGGTCTCCTTTTTTGTAGAGCAAAATTATTTCCGACTCTGACCATTGACGTGGGGTGTTTTTGCAATTCAGTATCATGTTGAAGAGTCTGGTTAGAGGCTTAACTAAATACATGAATTCTATTTTGCCTCGTTGGTGATTCTGTCGGGCCCTGGGCTTTTATCTATTTTTAGTGCTTTAATTCCTTTAACCACTTCGTCTTCATTAATGCTTGCTTTCGCCCCGTCTGCACTAACACTCGGTAATTTATATGCTGGTAGCTTTGGCTAGCTATAAAGATTTTTGTAGAAATCCGTTGCTATTTTGAGTATTTCCGTTCTATTTTATGTGTAGTTAGTTTTGTTTTTCAACACTTCAATTCATGATTTATGAGTTCTCAATTTCTTGTACGCTTTCTTGGCGCTCCCCGTTGCCTGAAGACATTTTTCTATGGTTTGTGTGCGGTGTGCTTGTTGTCTTGGTTAATTCGTTTACTTATAAGCTAATAACCTTATAAAGTGCTTTTAATTCATTTTTCATAGCTCTTGATTTCGGTTTTGTTTTTGTATTTCTTGTCTTCTGCTGATTAATGCCTTTATGCGTGCTAAAATGTCTCTATGTTTGTGTTAGATGTTGGGTCATTTGCCTTTTTTCAAAATGATATCTGTCAAATCAAATGTATAATGTCAAATCAAATGTAATAATATCGAAACATGGTGTCATTGTCATTCATGTAGTCGAGCAGATTAGCTGAGCAGCTGTTTAGCGTTTCAGTGTTTATTTTCACTTCTTTATCGTTCCTTAAACGAGATCTGGGGCGTTTACCAAACTAGCTATGATTTTTTGATTTTGAAAGAATACTGAACTCTGCCCTAACAAGTCTGTGATCCGAAGTGATGTTTAAGACCTGTATATTGTCTACGTTTCTCAATAGGTTTGTTAAAATATAGTCTATTTCGTTTCTCGTATAACCATTGATGGTGATTTCCATCCCAAGTCCATCTCTGTTTGTTGTTCTTTTTGGAAGAAGTGTTCATAATGGCTAGATTGTACTCATACGCGGACTCATTGAGTCTGTTTTCTCTACAGTTTATATTACCATAGCCGTAACTTCCCGTGATATTTTCAATTATTGGGAAAATATTTGAAAAAAAAATCATACATAAATAGGCGTATTATTTTAAAATTACAATAAAATTAAAATTACAATTACAAGCTTGAGGTTCGTGACAACAAAAACTGCCGATTGAATTGCCGAAATTTACACTTTTATTACCTAACACCAATTAAAACTTAAAACACTAATTACTGATTCATTTATTTCGCTCCGAAGCTTCGCTTGTCTCGCCAAATTCAATACTGCCCCGATCGCAGCATGCAGCGGGTTTAAATATACTTTTACGCCGAAACATCCAGAATATTCCCGTAGATACGGGCGCCGACCGACCACACGCAGAAAGTTTGAGTGTGAGGCTTCTAGAAAGCTTAGTTCTTCAATTCGATACTAGATGGCGCTGTTGGTTAAAATATTAGTCATATCATTTTCTGGAAAGCTCTCCTCGCTCTGTTACCCGACACTAGATGGCGCTAGTGCCAGACGTCAACTTAGGCGCGCAACAATATTTACTCGCTCTTGCTTCTCTTGGGTGAGATCTTTTAATGAGGCGATATTTAGACTTAAGATTAGACCATTTATTTTATGTTATCAATACTTCTGTTTTAATAAAATGTCAAAATGTTTGGATAAAATTAAGTCTAGATCTCTCTCTCTATTTGTCGTGAAATTTTATTAAAATCGATTCAGCCATTCCGAAGATTAGCTCGTACAGACAAGCAAACGAAAAATTTAAAAATGGTTACTTATGTCTCAATGGCACGTAAATATTTTATACAAAAATATTAACAAACAAAATCAACAATAATTATGAAGTGAACTCTCAGAACTCGTCGTAGCTCACAAGTTAGCCTAATCGGATTGATTTTTTTTTGTACTTTATGGGAATTTGTTATCATTGATTCCAAAAGACATCCAAAAGACACAAATGACAAATTGGACTGAAATTATAGAACGTATCGAGAGACGCATATCGCAACGTTCTTTTTTTGCAGTCTTTACCGGCAGGTGTGAGTATAGATAGCGACAGTGTGTGAGCAAAAGGTGAATTGAGGCGATGCCATTTACAATCCTATTCTATATAAATTTTGTTCTGCGCCGATAAAAAATATCAAATCAACGATTCAACAAAATCTGAACCCTGTATATGGTGATGTGCTGTCGTCAAGTTATTAATAAATGGTATATTAACACTGTAAAGTTATTTTTTTTATTACAGGAATCCGATTCGACGATCATGTAGACTTGGAAGAAGTGAAGGCCCTCGCGGCGCTCATGACTTACAAATGTGCCTGCTCAAATATACCTTTCGGCGGGGCTAAAGGAGGTGAATCTATTCAAATCTTTGTGAAGGAGCTTACCACATTTGGTTCTACCTGTCTAGAAGAATATCCACTATCCCATATCGTTCCGAGAGTGTTATAGAATATCCACTACCCCATATCGTTCCGAGGGTGTTATAAAAGGCGACAGAATTATACTGAAACAGGATGGGCATGAAAAATGTATCGACCCTGCTAAGCGTGGCAACAACATAATAAAATCCCCTATGAGGCAACTTAGACCTTTAGGCTGTAATGGTTTTCGTTTTTGAGAGAATCTGCTAAATGTTAGACAGATCTTAATCCTCTGTTTCAGTCAGTCAGCCGGCGGTAGCCATTTATTAACCGTAGTGGTATTTAAACTCTTTGTCATCTCTTTGTCAGATAAGCTGTATACTCACTTAACCGCCTTCAATGGAGCGTAAATTAAAGGAAATCCTCTCCATATCATGAGAAGCTCGTAACCTCCAGTAGACTATTGCGGACTAAAACAAAAGCTTCTTCTTCTTTATTAACTGGCTTTACGGGTCTGGTTTCTAGATCTTCTGAGCCTATCCTTTCTTTGGGAATCTTCATTTTATGTTCTTTTTCTTCACTATATGCTGATGCGTCACATTTTTTGCACGTCACAGCCTTTGGGAGATTCGGACGACAGCTCAACCCAGTGGAAAGTTGACGACGACAGCCACTCAAGTTCATAAGGCGCCCAAGCGATCAAAATAACTTGAGGTTTATATCGTCATCAAAGCACTTGTTTCGTCGTTTTCTGTAATAGTTCTCACGAGCGGACAATTAATTCACAAAATCGTATCACTTTTACGAATCAAAATCCACTTCAAACCATTATTCAAGCGACAAAACAGGAGCGACAATCCGTCTACGGCCAAGTTCCCGCCAAAACTCCCTAAAACAAAAGCGTGTAACACAAATCACAGACTAATAAGAGGATACTACGCATTCTTATAAACGGAGAACCTCGGAGTACAGTACTGGAAACATATCATAATATCTTTGTCTTTATTTGGTAAAAAAACTCATACGGCTGTACTTTTGCCAGTGTCAAGTAATAAGAAATTATAATTTAATTAAAAACTTCTTTACAAAATTATTTGATGCAACACATTGTAAAGTTTTGAAAGATTTTGACGGGTTATTCCGTTCACCCACTCTAAGAAATCCACCCTAGGGTGGGGTGGATAATCGGAATTTGTATATTATTTTTCCTCTGATTTTCCCCTGTGGAGTGTACAATCGCTAGTAAAAACATGATAGAAACTGGCCCAAGATTACTCAGTAGACATAAGCATACTTATAAAAATAACGGTAAAAGTGAAATACTTTTGATTGTTCAATTACATATCATTCGCAGTCACATAATTACCATCATTTTGGAGATATCTTAGGATGAAAGAAATATTTTACTGCAATTGTTTCAATTTTATTTTATTGAAGTGTGTAATTTAATTAAATATTTTGTTAATAATTACTTGTATAAACCAATGATTTCAAAGGGAAGGATAGGCCCATCTAAATATTTTACTCATAACTTTTTCATACAAGAAAAAGCGCATCTGTCATAATACGAACATCATATCAAAACACGACATAACCAGGGTTGGATTTCGTAGTGTAATTATCCTAATACAATTATTTCATAGTTTTTAGTATATAGTATCGTAATAATACTAAGCGAAAATACCATAATTTTACCTAAAGGTCGACTTGTATTATTATTGGGTCCTTTTCCATTTTAATATTAACCCTACGATATCGAGAATTTCTGTATTATACATGATGTACATGTAGGTACCGCGTTTCTTTAATAAAATTAGAATTAGCTTCCTTTCTGGTCAATCAATGCTCGATCGATGCATTGATGTTGCATCCTTGATACAACTTTAATGAGGGGTTACCACGCTAAAAACTCTATGCGCCAGAAGCAATCGGTTTGAAAACAGAATTTAAAAATATTTTATGAATCAGATTTTCAGATTCAATTAAGCAGATATGGTTTCTTTTGTACTCTTTTTGTTTTACCGTTATCGAATATTTTACTTTAAACAAAAATTAAATAAAAATAAAAATAAAACCGTCAAAAAAAACGACACGTGACGCCAAAATCCCGGCACATGGGAAAAAAGAAACATGAAACGTCAAACGTGATATAATTTTTTAAAAATAGTCTAATTTTATTTTCCATGTACAATAATTTTGAGAGTCTGAATTCAACCCTGACCTAATCTTGGTAACGTAACTAAACTAACTGTAAAATGAAACATTAAAGATGCGTTTATATAATATTTTAATTGTAATAAAATTAATATAAGGTTATTTACCGATGATACGATATCCCATTTTTTTAAATCTTTGTATCGTAATTTATGCATTCTTTTATCACGCAACTAGACATATAATTTATGACAGGCAAATCTGTCCTGCGCGCGCACCACTGCCGACCGATTCGCGTTGGCCCTAAACTGTAATTTTAGGGCCAGCACACTGGTCCGTTTTAGTTGTTCGGTCGGCCCGGTCCTTATGCTAGTAATATATAAGTCAATGGTATAAACACAAGACATAGTGTGGTACTTAACTTTAAAATGTCTTTTATTGAGGGACTAATTTATACATGATATACAGTGAAAAATGAAATTAGTGTTGGTCATTTCCTGGACATTGCAGAATTTATAAATTACTTATTATCATGTAAAACAAGGAAGTTTAATTTAGTTTAAATGCAAAACGTAATATGATTTTTGTTTAAGTTTGTGGTTATTAAAAACTAATCAATAATATGGTAAATTATTGAATATATTTTCTGTTGAATTGTAGATACTTGGGGTGGAAAGGTGGAGCAACGATCAAAAAGTGAATTCCGATTATCCACTCCGTCTATGTTGGATACGAACACGCGTTTCCGAGTATCCACCCCAGGGTAGATTTCTTAGGGTGGATGAGTAGAATAACCTATTTTTACGACAGCTTAAGCCAGCAGACAGTCGGCGATGATAATATGTCAAGGTGCCTAAGCAAATACATCATATTGGCATTCAAATCACCATCGGAGATCTGTAATAAGTTTGGCGGGAAATTCATACAAAATATTTTTTTATAATTTTAAATTCTTAGACATGACTTGGTTATTTTTTTATAGGAGAGGGGCAAACGGCTCACCTGATTGTAAGTGATTATCGCCGCCTATGAACAACTGCCACACCAGGAGAATTGCAAGTATGTTGCCGGCCTTTTAGAAAGGAGCAGCTCTTTTCTTGAAGGACCCTAGGTCGTATCGGTCCGTAAAAATCGCCGGTGGTAAACTATTCCACAGAGAGGTCGTACGCGGAAGAAAACTCCTAATGAAACGTACAGTGGAGGACCGCCAAGCATCCAGATGGTGTGGATGGTACCGGGAGGTTTACCGCGTAGTGCGTTCATGAAATTTGGCGGCTGGGATTAATCCGAACAATTCCTCAGAGCACTTTCCGTGATAGATGCGATATATATATTCCCGTGATAGATCGCAGCGCCAGTGAATCGAGCCGATCGGAAAGCACTCGTTCGTCGACGATTCGAGCCGCTCTGCGCTGGATGCGGTCAGGTGGAGCTGGCACTGGGGAGCCACAGCCCAGAGATGGAAACAGTATTCCATGTGAGGCCGAACCTGTGCCTTGTAAAGTTGCAGGCGGTGTGCGAGCATGAAATACTATCCCGCTTTGCCGAGCATGCCAAGCTTTTTAGAGGCCAATTTGACTTTCTCTTCCAAGTTACCACGAAACTGCACGTAACTCGATACGTCGACGCCGAGGATTCCAATAGGCAACAAGGTGAGAGCCTTGAAACTAAGGAGATATGACAAAAAGTTCTTTTTAGCGGTAAACGCACAAACTTGTGTCTTCTGAGGGTTAAACTGGACTAGACTTAGTCGTCCCCATTCCGAGACTTTGTTCAGCAAAGACTCGACTTCAGTCACAAGTTTGTCCCGGTACTCGGAGACGTTTTCCCGAGAAATATTGGCACTGCCGGTGTACAGAGCATCACCAGTGCTGTCATCCGTATAGCAATTAATGTTACCGGTTTGCAACATATTATTGATATGCACAGGAAATAACGTTGGTGATAGATCGTAGCCTTGTTTAACGCCAGCATTAATAGGCTTGTAATCGGAGCATGCACCGTCTACATTCTACAACAACCTTGATGCTACAATCAGCAAGAAAGCTGATGATCAAATTGCACAATTTCTCGGGAAGCCCATAGGAAGGGAGCTTTGAAAGAAGCGCTTTGTGCCAAACCCAATCGAAGGCCTTCGTAACGTCCAAACCAACGGAAACAATGCCTCCCCTTTTGACTCTACTGCCTCTGCCTATCGATAATTCAGGTAGACCAGGCGATCGCCAGCTGATTGGCCCCGACGAAAATCGTGTTGGAGGTCACTAATCAGCTGGTGATTCCATTATTTTGGAGAACGGCGATGTGCTCTAAAAGCCTAGCAGAAAGAGCCTAGCAGATCAGCTTTCTCCTTTTCGGCATGGGCCAGTGAGTCGTCCTCCCTATGCGGGAATGGAAGAGATGGCTGACAGAAATTCCCTTGGACAGCCTTGGCGAGAGACCAGAATGTCTATGTACATTAACTCTGCCTTGGCAATGACTCTTTTGAAGTACCTGGAGGCGGAATTATATTTCTTTTTTAGAGCGCTGGTGTTTACATCCCGGGACTTTGATGCGTCAGCCCAGGCTTGGTAGCACTCCTGCTTATATGTAGCATGATGCTATTTTACAGGAGCGACTAAACAATGGCTGAGATCTGCCTCCGATGGACACCACAGGGGAAGGAATAAAAGTTCCATACCCTGAAGTACCACATCAAATTAAGGTGAAATTTATATATTTTATCCATTTTAGGTGTCGCGATCAATCCAAGAAATTACACGGTGGCCGAATTGCAGAGAATCACACGGAGGTACACACTCGAGCTGGCGAAGAAAAATTATATAGGTTAATTTATAAATTTTATTTCTTTATTTTTTGTTAAACATCTTTTACATATCATAAAAATGTTTTTAAAAATATTTTACTTGTTCATAAACTATATAACGCATCAAAAGTTGTATTGCAACCTATCAAAAGTTCACTACCGAATAATTGCCTTCCCCATACATGCCTCAGGGGGATATTTGCCACAGAAGCAACTATAGCTAGTATATAATAGCGATTGGCAAGCAGGTTGGCAATCACAGTTTTCTGCCTTCTGTTTTAGTTTTATTTTCTCACATTAATAGAATCAGGCGTTACTTTGCGGAAATCCGTTATTTTAAAGTAGTTAAGAACATTTTGCACACATACGCTCTATAAAATAAAATGATGTGACTTACCTAGTTTGAAGAGCACCTTCCGCACTCTCTCAATTGTGTGCACTACTGATCCCAGCACCACTACTCCCAATACCACTACACTAGGAAAGACACACGTGTTTCGCCTCTACACGAGGCATCCTCAAGTGATGTAGACTCTGCGGTAGCTGACCGCCAAAACCTTTTCTTAAGAGAAAATGTTTTGGCGGTCAGCCACACTACTAAGCGACACACAACTAAAACGAGTACTTGTTAATACTAAGGAATTCTGTATGCTTAATGTGGAGCCACAAGCAAAAAACTAAACTATAGTTAAGTGCCATATACCTACTGAAAATGTCGATTTATGACAATTACAAGATATTATTTCAGTTTACGTTGTATTTGAAAATACATAATTATTTGTTTATTTGTATGTTACAATCTATTGAAAAATTTTATCTTGAAACATTCTTGCAAACTTTTCAGGAGCGGGAATAGATGTGCCCGCGCCTGACGTCAACACATCCGGTCGAGAGATGTCGTGGATAGTGGATACTTACGTTAAAACTTTCGGTTAGCATTTTATAAATATTGAGATAATCCTTGGTACGTCTGTTAGTGATCGTGTAGCACCTGAACAACTTGACATGACTTGAGGTCATATGCCAGAATCGTGGAGAGGCAGGGTGTTTGGCGTATTGCTACTAGCTCCCCCCCCTCACCACCACCACCACCACGACAAGGAAGGGCCGCTGTTACTTAAGTAATAAAATGTAAGATCACAAAATCTTTCGAGGCTAATATTTCTTAAGCAATTGTTTTCTTTTTAATAGTATGTGTGTTTAAAAGTTTCTCATAGTCAACGGTGGTAGAACCATTGATTGTCATACAAATTCTATCCTTAATTATACAAGTGAATCCGTCTCCTCGATTCGTTCCTGTTTGCCGTAAGAGGCGACAATGGGAAATTTCAGAGAAAAACATAGCATCCTATAGAATGATATAATATACACGCGGTCACAAATATCTAATGTAAATTATTGAGACCAGCGACGACTGAATGAAACATGAATTGCGCGTCTAGGTGTGAGTCTTCTGGTTTTGTGAGTCTAGCCACTTGTAGAGGCCTATGCCAACTACTGTTACGACGAACGAACGAGAAGGGATGTATTTTTTCATATATAGATAAGAGGGGGCGAACGAGCATGTAGTTCATCTGGAGGTAAGGGAAAACCGCTCCCATGAACAACTGCAACACCAGAGGAATAGCAGGTTTTATTGCTTTTGTCGCCTAAGTCGTATTGATCTGGAAAAATTAATGTTGGTAGGCAATTTCATATTTTTTATAGGAGCGGAGGCAAACGAACATACGGCTCAGCTGATGGTAAGTGATAACCACCGCCCATGAATAGCTGCAACACCAGGGAAATTGCAGATGCGTGGCCAGCCTTTTAAAAAGGAGTAGGCTCTTTTCTTGAAGGTCCCTAAGTCGTATCGGTCCCGAAAAATGTCTGGTGGTAGTCGATTCCACAAGGAAGTTGTGCAAGTAAGAAAACTTCGGGTAAATCGCACGGTGGTGGATCGCTATTACCCAGATGGTACACTTTAAGTTATGTCGCAATGTATGATAGATTTATTCCCATACCTTAACCATACTATAACAGTCTATTAAAAGTTCACTCATGAATATAGGTCTCTTCCTTTAGATTGCCTCATAGGGGATTTTTGTTATAGTTGCCACGTCTGGCAAGCGGGTTGGCAACCAAAGATTTTTTGTTAGAGATGGGCCGAATATTCGTTTCATATTCGGTATTCGGCAGCTTTGCCGAATATTCGTATTCGGCCGAATATTCGGCTAAATCACCGAACGTTTGTTAAAGCGGTACTCAAAGTGTCCACTGTGTTACAATTTACGAATTGAGTAATGTCATGTTTTTCATAATTTTACCGTTGAAAGTATATTTCATTTATGGGTTAAATCTACTTGCATAGCGTTATGTTTCTGAGGTACTGTAAATTTATTTCCAATTATAGCAAATAAGATTGATAAAATGTTTTTGGAATCAAACAAAGAAAAATTTCATTACATTAGTACATTTCACTTTACTTTCACATTAGTACTTACTTACAAATAGTAGATCTCCTGCCACCTATTTTTATCATATAATTATCAATTTTCACTAAGATAACAAAACAAAATACTTTTTCTCACTAAAATAGTCAAAACATAATCATGTTATGCTGACAATTTGCATAGGTAATAGGTGTGGCGGGGGAGCGAGGGCAGGGTCCGGAACATAGGTGTCCCCCTTAGATTGCCTCATGGGGGAATATTTTTCAGGGCTGCCACACCTGGCAAGCGGATTGGCAACCGCAACATTTTATTGTTCTGAGTTGTTATCAGGAAGTTGTTGCTGCCCAGCTCCTGTTGCATTTACCTGTCACCTTCTGCGACACTCAAGGAAAAATAGGGGGTAGTGAACATTCTTACACCGGCACTATACTGTAAAATGTAATATTTAATTGCATCCTATTTACTACTCCCAAAGGATACCAAGACCTGAACGCTGCGGCTTGCGTTACGGGCAAGCCCATCAACGGCGGCGGCATCCACGGCCGTGTGGAAGCCACGGGTCGTGGGGTCTTCATGACTATCAACTATTTTGTCCACGAAGAGCAGTGGATGAAACTAATCGGCCTCGAGCCCGGATTTAAGGTCCTAACTTCAAATTTACTATGCGTATACTATAAATACATATAGATCCAAATTGCCTTGTTGGTCTAGTGATTTTAAACGTGATTGTTGATCGTGAGGTTCAGGGTTTAAGTCCCGGGTTAGGCAAAAACCAGTTTTATGAGTTTTTCTGTCAAGAAATTCTCAGTAGCAGCCCGGAATCAAGAAGTTGGTCGTGTTTCACCCCTTGCCTCGGAAAGCACCACCTGTTGGTCCTGCCGGATCCGGTCGTGTCGGATTACACTGCACATCTCACTCCGGTCGTGTCGGATCTGACTGCGGTCCCAACGGACTGTGAGAATGAGGGAGTAGAAAGTGCATCTATCCCTACCCTACCACCTGTCCTGCGGCGATGGTTAGTTTCCGTTGAGGCTGGTTTGAAGGACTCAGTATGGTCAATATAGATCTTTAAGATCATCATCATTACAGCCCTTCACAAGTACACTGCCGAACATAGGCCTCCCCCAAGGTATGCCACAAAGCACGGTCCTGAGCCACCTGCATCCATCGACTTCCTGAATGTCTTCCCAGGTCGTACTCCATCTAGTGGTGGGTCGCCCTACACTTCGTCTACCGGTACGAGGCTGCCACTCAAGAACCTTTTTTTAAGATGTAATAATATAATAATAATGGTACAATTACAGTCTAATATGAGATTGAAGGTATAGCCTTCAATCTCATATTCCGATGGGACGGTAAACCGTCAAAAATGGAGATAGATCACCAACGGCTTTTGGTGCTTTCCGACGCACGGTGGTGAAACACCACTGACTTCATGATTTCGGACAGCTACTGTGAATTTCTTGACAGAAAAACTCAATCGCTGAATATTTTTGGCGGGCCCGGCTTTCAACCCGTGACCTCATAATAAGCAGTCGCGTTAACAACCACTGGGCCGACGAAGCAGTCCATATAAATCATAATATTATAAAGTCCTCAGTTCCATCGTTACAGCTTGTGAAAAGTCTACTGCTAAACACAAGCTTGCGCCATAAGTTACCTCATAGTGCTTGGGGCAACTGTAGTGTTTATTATTTTTAAAGTGTTTTTTATAGCACATTTTGATAACACACACACAAACACAAACACACACACACACGCGCACGCCCACGCGCACGCGCACCCGCACGCGCACGCACACACACGCGCACACACACGCGCACACACGCTCACACACACACGCACACACACGCGCACACACACACGCGCGCACACACACGCGCGCACACACACGCGCGCACACACACGCGCGCACACACACGCGCGCACACACACGCGCGCACACACACGCGCGCACACACACGCGCGCACACACACACACACACACACACACGCACACACACGCGCGCGCACACACACACACACACGCGCGCAACACACGCGCGCAACACACGCGCACACACACACACGCACACGCACACACACGCGCGCGCACACACACACGCGCGCACACACACACACGCGCGCGAACACACACACACGCGCGCACACACACACGCACACACACACGCACACACACACACACACACATCGCACACACACACGCGCGCACACACACATGCACACACACACACGCGCGCGCACACACACACGCGCACACACACACACGCGCGCACACACACACGCGCGCGCACAGACACACGCGCGCACACATACACACACACGCTCACACGCACATGCACACACGCGCACGCACACACGCGCACTCACACACACACACGCGCACACACACACACACACACACACACACACACACACACACGCACGCACGCACGCACGGCACGCACGCGCGCACGCACGCACACCCGCGCACACCCACGCACACGCGCACACCCACACACGCACACACACGCACACACGCACACACACACGCGCACACACACGCGCACACACACGCGCGCACACACACACACACACACACACACACACACACACACACACACACACACACACACACACACACACAGTCCACCTGATGGTAAGTGGTTGCTGTGGCCCATAGACGATATGGCGAATTAAAATGCAGATGCGTTGTCTACCGTGAGGACTAAGATGGACTGCCTCGTTTTTGGGAAAAAGGGTCTTCGGTTCTCTACACTCACCATACGAAACACAGCAGCATTAAACTACTGTTTAACGCTGGTAATCTGCGAGAGCGTGGTCCTTCCCCGGTCGAACTGACCTATTCGTGCTAAAATATCATCATCATTACAGCCCTTCACAAGTCCATTGCTGAACATAGACAACTATACTACTAACTAACTGCAGCATGGCTCTACCACGTATGTTCATCGGCAATATGCTGTTGCCCGTATCCCACTACAAAGCCAACGGCGGCTTACGTACAATGTGCTATTTATATATTGTTTTCTTTCTTAAAAGTCTATTGAAATTTTGCCTATATAAATAGTTAGCCTGCTTGCTACAGAACAAAACGGCAATCATCCAGGGGTACGGCAACGTGGGCAGCTACGCAGCTATCTACCTGCAGCAGAGCGGCGTGAAAGTCACCACCGTGCTTGAGAGAGACTGCAACCTTAAGAACGACGATGGGATTGACACAAAGGTTATTAACTGTTAAATGTGTTTTCTTCTTGCTTCTTTTTCCTGTAGAAGTTTACTGCTGGATGTGAGACTCTCCTGTTGATCAAAGGTTAGAATAGAAAATGCGCGGATTGAACTCCTTTTTCGTAGTAATCGCGACACTTCTTAGTTGAAATAAAAATAATTAGAACCTTATTTTGGAATTGCCACTTAATTTACCAACAGTGAGAGAAAATTTGTCTGGCCCACCAAGAAGGGTAAATGAAATAGGTAAACTCACGGTCAGCGGCAGTGGCGATCAAATTCAACTTGGCTTCAACAATATCTTCGGATGTGGACGGTCTTCCTTGACCACACTCCTACGTGATTATATAGTCCATTCACACCTCTGGGTCGACCCGGCACACTCACTAATGCTAATTACATTGATTTTATCTTGGAAGGTTTAGACAAGAACAGCCATTATCGATGCAGTTCGTCTTGAGTCTTGATTATATGTTGGGTATATTGATTGCGTCGACTTCTTTTACAGACGCTTTTGTTGTAGGCTAACAGATGGCGCCATATTTATTAATTGAATTCATGTCAAGCATGAACCTAATCCGAGCAATAATAATCTAGAGACGCACAATGTTTTCTTTGTTCTTCACGCATCCTCACGCGAAGATAGATCGGTAGATCGAAAGATTCTCTGCGTAGTGCGCGAAAATGATGACGCCGAGTGGCTTGATGAAACCGACGCTGATCTTCAACAAAGCAAAGTGCCAACAACTGACTTGCAAGATGCTTATCCAGTTGTTAGTGTTGAAGAAAGTCTTGCTAATCCGTGATTCAAGGACAATGTACAATAAATATGTTCATCTAGTACAATATGTTTCGCATAATTCGCATAATTACACCATTCCGTTAATATTATTTTTATGCCAGTCAAAAACAACCTGCAACCCTTCTGTCTAGACATTTTATTATAGTTGTAATAGTGGGGATAAGCGGTCCACTATTAACAGACTCTGAGTGGTTTAGTGGTGGAGAAATGAAACTACTATTTTATGTGCCGACGAGTGGTGTATGGAGTACGGAATATGGAATGAATTTTACGTCGACCCAGCCTATATTTATATGTCCGGCTACGTCGTTAGTTAACCAATAGTAACAATTTTTATTTGCCTAGCCAATTACAGTACATACATTATGACCAATAAAGATTATTAAAAATACAACTATTATGTACGTTCCATTTGCCGGCGTGAGACTCGTGTTATCTTCTCGTATCGACGTCGCTAGACTGGGCTATAAAAGTTGTGCAGGCCAGCGCGCGCGTTGCGCCCTCCTTTCTGCCAAGGAGGGTCGCGTTCGTATACGGCTTAGAGATCTCTCGTCAGATCGGTAAGCCAATCCATAAAGGCGGTGTTTAGTGGGTAAAAGTCTCCACATAACCACGCAGCCGGCTGCGTGGTATGCTATGAGCATTCACCGCCTCCCTTCCCCGCTTTCCGGAGGGTTGCCCATATTTGTTTCGGGCGCAAAAAAAAGCGCGTGCGTGGTCCGGCGAGCGGCGGCGGCGTGGGACATAGCTCCGGAACAGCAAGAAGAAGCGAGCTGCGGCGTTGAAGAAACGGCTTCAAAATGGTCGACGGATACATAACGATAGCGGCGTGTGAAGACGATGTGGCGCTGAATGATATTTGCGGCTGTTTCTTGTTTCTTTATTAGGACGTTAAATATATACGTCAAATTATCTCACATCAATATGCAGCCCGCAGTATCTCAGTAGCCGGGGATAGTTAGGAAATAAATGTTTTCTTCGCCTTCTGTGTTATGGTAGCAGCAGGGTATATATTATTTATTGCCGATTAGCCTGGCTGCTCAACAATGGTCAAATAGATTATACTTTATACATGTATTTAAACATTATATTCTAAACATTTTAAGATTCTTTGCAGGTACCAAAAATACAAGTGATTTTGGGTGGGTTAATCTTAAACCTCACCACGTATCACCAAGAGGGAGGGGGGTTAAAAATGTAAAAAAAAAGACATCACGTGATTAATGGACGGCCCCTTGCCCAGTCGGACTACTTGTCCCAGGTATACATACTCGTTTACAACTTCGAGCTTAGTGCTCCCAACAACTACCCGCATATGTGTGACATAGACACGAGAAGATAAAGACTTTTGTTTTGTCCATGTTCATCTTAAGACCTATCCGCCGGGAGGCACTATTGAGGTCACTGAGCATAGTGCTTAGGGCCTCTGGCGATTCCGCCATGAGGACTATATCGTCGGCAAACCGAAGGTGAGTGGTGTACTCGCTATTGACGTTAATACCGTATCCTTTCCAGTCCAGTAGCTTGAAAACGTATTCCGTTTCGGGGATATTACATCACCCAATTTTACACCTCTGTAGCAGCCAGGCTAATCGGCAATAAATAATAAATAAATAATACTCTCTGCGCTATACAGTCCACTGTGCCCGTAGAAGGAAAAGGGGAGATCTCCCGCCGGGCAAGGTTTTCTTCCCGGGGTGCGGCCAACACTCCGTGTGATAATTCGGAGATGTTCTATATATACTGTTTATGATTCGGAATTTTCGATAGCGTGATTTACGCTTCGGTGTGTTTCGCTTGCGGCGCAACGACTCCTCTTTGCAGTTGGATAGGTTTCGTACTCTGGTTCTGTACTCGGATAGTCATCGTAGCCCCACTGTACAAACACTTCGATATACCGACAGTCAACTTGGCACCGCTGAAAGAACTGCAGCACTGCCAAAATTTCGACGGAATCAAAGGCTTTCTCATGGTCCACATACGCAAGACAACGTGCCAGATTGTACTCTTCGGACTTCGGTAGAGTTTGCCGAAGGATATATATGTGGTATATCGTGCTAAAGCCTTTTCGGAAACCAGCTTCTTTGGGAGGCTGGAAGTCGACGAGTCTGCGTGCGAGACGAATCGTAATGAATCTCGAAAACAGCACGTAGACGTTGCTCAAAAGGAAAATCGGTCTGTATAGTCCGTTCGCGTTAAGAAAATAGTGAGTCATTGTTGTCCGCCGGCCTGGCCACGCCCCCCAGCCAATTAAAATGCAAGAAATTAGAAAGTTGAGTTCACAGTGACCAGTTGAAGTCAGGCCTTCGAACAAAACGGTTGTGTATTTTGCGTGTTACTCGTTCAACATTAAATTTTGAAAATGAATACCTCACCTATTCGAAAGAATAGAAGTGGATCAATAATCCATAGTGGAGAGAGACGCGTAATTTACAATATTTATAAGTACTTTAAACTGTGTGATTTAAATGCGACTGTGGAGAGCACAGTAATAAAAACAGCAAGTGCATGTGGTGTCCGAAAATATTGTTTATATAATTATTAAAGAACAAAAGGATACTAACACATTAAAATCACCCGTGAAAAAAACCGGGCAAGAGCGTGTTGGGCCACGCCCAGTGTAGGGTTCCGTAGTTTCCCGTCCGTCACAATAAGTGTTCCCACTTATGAGTTTAAAGGTGGGTATCCATTATGTTCGCGCTCCAGCCGCGCTCCGCGCTCCTGCAACTGCTCCCGGTAGTGGGTACGTGCGCGAACATGGAGCGTGCAACATTGCACGCTCCGCGACAGGCGATGCCAAGGAGAGAGCAACCGAACAATTCGATAATACCCGACCCAATGTAATAAGTACCTACAGCGCCATCTCTCGGAGAATTGGGTTACTAATTAATACATAGACGTGCCAGAAGTTTTCGGTGGTAATTTTGGATAATTTTTTAATAATTCTTTTTTTTGTTTGAAAAAAGATACGTTTAGGATAATAAAATATGTAAACGAAGTTAAAAAAATGCCTGCTTAAACGATTATACTACAAACTTAGTCCAGAAATTATTTTGTACAACTTTTTGTCTTTTTTTGTACAAAAACTGTTTCCATCCAGGTTCAAAATAATTTTCCTAGAAAGTCCTTATAAAGTTCTACCTTTCAGATTTTTTTTCATATTTTCTAAACCTATGGTTCAAAAGTTAGAGGGGGCGGGACACATTGTTTTATACTTTTGGAGCGATTATTTCTGAAATTATTGACATTATCAAAAAATGATTTTAGTAAACCCCTATTCATTTTTAAATACCTTTCCAACAATATATCACACGTAAGGGTTGAAATTAAAAAAAAATCACTTCCCACTTTACATATAGGGGGGCTACCCTAATAAAACATTTTTTTCCAATTTTTATTTTACCACTTTGTCGGCGTGATTGATACACATATTGGTACCAAATTTCAGCTTTCTAGTGCTAACGGTCACAGAGATTAAGCGAGGACGGACAGACGGACAGACGGACATGGCGAAACTATAAGGGTTCCTAGTTGACTACGGAACCCTAAAAAAGAGCTCGACTGTCGACGGACGGTTAGATGAAATAGACAAATGTGCAATAAGGAGAAAAGTTCACTCAATATATTTAAATAGCGACTACCCGACATTGGACAAAATAATGACACTATGCGAAGCTGACGAAGATATTCCTGTTTTCAAACGTACCACACTTCATAAAATAATGCACGAGCTTGGTTTCAATTTCAGCATTTTCATTAGCAGAACATTGGTAGTAGAAAGAGAAGATATTGTTTTATGGAGGCGTAAATATCTGAGGCAAATAAAAGAATACAGAGCCGCTAATGAAACCATTTACTATCTTGACGAAACGTGGGTAAACGCCGGACACGTAAAGACAAAAGCATGGTTGGATACAACGGTAAAAAATAAAAGACAAGCCTTTCTAGATGGCTTATTACAGCCGGTCCAAAAGCTCCGACAGGAAAAGGTAAAAGGTTAATTGTATTGCACATTGGCAGCGACAAAGGATTCGTGGAAGATGGTCTACTAGTATGTGAATCTAAGTCTACAAAACACTATCATGAAGAGATGGATGGTGAAAGATTCCTTAATTGGTTCATTAATATAATGCCTAAGCTAGAACCAGGAAGTGTGGTTGTCATGGATAACGCTCCCTATCATTCGGTAAGAGTCGAAAAAATACCAACAACCAGCTGGAACAAGCAGCAAATAATAGATTGGCTGCAAAGCAAAGGCAAATCCATGGACATGACTTATTTAAAAAAATAATTATTAATGAAAGTTGCCGAAATCGCCCCACAATATAATAAATATTTAATAGATGAGACTGCCAAAAGTAATGGCATTACAATTCTTCGCCTACCGCCTTACCATTGCAAACTTAATCCAATTGAATTGGTTTGGGCCCAAATAAAAATTATGTTGGTGCCAATAACTCCACGTTCAAAATAAATGACATAAAAAATTATTAGATGACGCAATATCATTAATAGACGCTAATCGTTGGAAGAAGTGCTGCGACCACGTGATACGCGAAGAAAATACCATGTGGAATTTGGATGACATCATGGAACTTGCAGAACAAAATTCTTTCATAATTAATGTGACCGGAGAATCTAGCGATACTGATTAGTGATTTAAGTAATTTTAAGAAAATTTGTTTCCATTAAACTTAATTAAATGTAAAAAAAAGAGAATTTTTACTCCACTGTGAATACACATTTACCCTGTAGTTGCACTGATGACTCACTATTTTCTTAACGCGAACGGACTATAGTTCTTCAAGAGAGCGTTGTCGCCTTTCTTGAAGATCAAAACCACCGCACTTTTGCTCCACGCCTCCGGAGTAGTGCCACCGTGGAGGATGGAATTGAAGAGCTTCTGAAGGACTTAAAGTATCGCTTTTCCACTCGCTTTCAGAAGCTCCGCTCTAACTCCATCCTCACCCGGGGACTTGCTATTTTATGGTGCTGGAGTCATTCTAATCTTGCTCAGACTGACTTCCGGAATATCATCGGAATAGTGTCGGATAAGACTTGCTCTTGGATCGTTACGCACACTTCTGCTTAGCTGCCCGTAGAACCTCTCAACCTCACTCAAAATCTCAAGTGTCCCGGAAACGATGATTCCACATTGGGTCTTCAGCTTTGACAGTTGGCTCTTTCTGGCAGACAGATCTCAAGCAAGGACTTTGGAACCCTGGTTCCGATCGATTTCTTCTTCAATACGAGTTGTATGAGATCTGTCTTTTCAGTTGCCTGTATGCAAATCTGCTGAAGACTGCAGCGTCATTTCCTGTGATCGGAGAGTTTCCGTGTTCTTCTGCTGCGGGTCTTACAAAACTTAACTCCAACCACATGGACAGTTTTCACAAGCTTGTCATTCATATCGTCCACTTTATTGCAGTCTCCTAAGCACTGAAAACGATTTTGTAACTCGAGCTGAAAGCTTTCGGGGCTTTGGATAAAAGCACGAGGGGCATGGAGCGTTGACTTCATTAGACGTGACGTCTCCAACTTCACATTCAGGTTCATTGTGGCTCTCACCAATCGGTGATTGAAGTTTTCACCCTTGCGATCACTGAGGCATCACTGAACGGTTGTCGTCTGGTGGTCATAATGAAGTCAATCTCATTTTGATTTCGTATATTTACGCGAACACTATACATGATTAAAACTACTTTTACGGATTTTATCGCGTTTATTTTTACTTTTTATTTACTTTTATTTTTAATTCCCGACGTTTCGGGCGCTTTCCAGCACCCATGGTCACGGGGGGACTGAGATGACTGACGTCCCTATGTCATTGTTAAACCCGGAGTACCTTCAGCTTCAATAAAATTAAAACTAAACCCAAGCATACCACTGCAAGACCTCAGGACATAGTCAGTTCATTTTGCATAGATCGGACCATAAACAATAATTAAAAAAGCTGAAGGTACTCCGGGTTTAACAATGACATCGGGACGTCAGTCATCTCAGTCCCCCGTGACCATGGGTGCTGGAAAGCGCCTGAAAAGTCGGGAATTAAAAATAAAAGTAAATAAAAAGTAAAAATAAACGCGATAAAATCCGTAAAAGTAGTTTTAATCAATCTCATTTTTTGTCGAACCGTCGCGTCGGGGCTTGGCCAGGAAGGTACGCATCCATCGTCGATACACTCCCAATCTTTACAATGTTGTTAACGAGATACTTGTGGACGATAAATTTGACACCTCCTTGCGACAGATGGTCGCCCTCCCGGTGATAGAACAAGTTGCCGGATTCGAGAATTACCGTGTGACTTGTTGCTATCCTGATCTGTGGCTTGTTTAGTCTCATTAGAACCTTAGTTAAACGACTGTTTAGTGTTTATTGCCGGCAGGGTCTGCTTAGGTTGTTTAGTGTTCTAGATTTTTCCAAATATGAGCGTGTTTATTAGTAAAGTGCTTACGTACCAGTGAAACGTACGTTCCCAAAGGAAATCGGTGTGATTGTTGCCGGCCCTATGGCGCCTAGAGCAAATAAAATTGATACTTTTATTAAGTTTTGCAATACGTATCACTTTTAACTTCAAATTTATTATCTACAGAAATTACTGCACTACAAAGAAAATAACAGAGGCAGCGCTAAGGGTTTTCCGGGGGCTAAGGAAGTGGGCCCTGAGGCGTTTTTCGAAAAATGCGACATCTTAGTCTTGGCGGCCATGGAGAAAGCGGTAACTCAAGAAAACGCGGGAAAATTGCAGTGTAAGGTCTGTAATTTTGGTTCTTTTGTCCAAAGCCTTGCAGATAATATACTGTACATAATTCCTTTTTATATTTAAATAATTATTGTTAGCTGACACTCCCTCCCCCATACTTATTCTGAAACATTTATAGAACATTTTATTTCTTAAACATGCAGATATCCCGGAAGTATTTTCTTAGAGACATTCCATTTCAACTTCGACAACCGATGGAGAAAAAGGTTCTCGAGTAGAAACTTCCTTCCGGTAAGGCGGCCCCCCACTAGATAGAGTGACGACCTGGTAAGATATGTTGGAAGTCGATGGATGCAGACTCAAGACCGTGCGTTGCTTGGGCCCTATGCTTAGCAGTGGAATTGTGAAGGGCTATAAGGACCAAGATGATGATGATTATGATTCCATCTTATTCCAAAGAAATAGCAGGCATGAGCTGCAGCGCCACATACTATCATGTTGTTTGTAAACTTAACTTTAAATTCTCAAAAACAAGATAATCGCGGAGGGTGCGAATGGACCCACCACCCCAGCGGCAGATTTTGTTCTCCACGAGCGGTCAGTGCTGGTGCTGCCCGACCTGCTGGCAAACGCGGGCGGCGTCACCGTCTCCTACTTCGAGTTCCTCAAGAACCTCAACCACGTCAGCTTCGGCAAGCTTAGCATCAAGTTTTGGCGGGACTCCAACACCGCGCTACTTGGTGCTTATCTTTTTAAACATATGTATGAAATTAAATGATAAGGAAGTGATTTCATCCCATACACAACAACAACAACTGCGACTCAACAACTGGGATCCGCGTGCATAAATAAAACATCTTTAAAACCCTTCGACCGAGAGGTCAGTCGATCCAACTTTTTTTAATAGGATATGGTTGACCAACGAGCACACAGTCCACCTGATGGTAGGGCAAGTAGACTCCCTCACTGTAAATTGCACTGCAGATTTCTTCTCTTTCTTTTTTAGCGTGGAACGATTTACGATTGCATGTAACAATGATTTGACAATATGATAAAATACTTTAAAAAAAGTTCCAATCATCCTCTCCATGTCTCATGTCCGTGTCAATCTCAGTCTGAAATTTCCGCACATTTGAAAGAAAGGAAGAATATATTTATTTATAGCTGCAACTGGCCTTTATAAAACATTATTTTACAGCCGACCAAAAAAAGAAAATACTAAACAAAATATTAAGAAGAAAAAAAATGTATTGCAGCAACAAGAAGGTCACCGACTCAGCATAATGTTTTTGTTATAGAATAAGGGTCACAAACTAGCACACAATCCACCTGATGGTAAGTGAATACTGTGGCTAATCGAATCAAAATGCAGATGCGTTGTCACTCGTTAGGACTAAGATGGAATGCCTTGTTTCCAGTAAAAAGGATCTCCGGTTCTCTATACTTACCACACAAAGCATAGCAGTGTTAAGCTGCTATTTTACGCTGGTATTCTGTGAGAGCGTGGTGCTACCCCGATCGAGCCATCCCATTCGTGCTATTGCTATACCAGTAATAAAAGTTGCGGCATGGCTCTACTTTTTATTCGGGAGATTGCAACACTTCTTCTTGTCGCGTAACTGTACCTACCTTGAAAATAAAAAACAGGGGTATACAGCCTGTGCCTGTTGCCAGTGATGACATATGGATGTGAAACGTGGTTCTCGCTCTGCGCGCAGTATGAGAAAGCTCAAGTTCGCTCAGTGAGCTATGGAGAGAGCTATGCTCTTAGTTTCTCTATGTGAAAAACTTAGAAATGAGGATATCCGCGGTAGAACCAGAGTAATCGACATAGCCTGACGCATCAGTTAGCTGAAGTGGTAATGGGCCGGCCGTATAGCTCGAAGAATTGATAACCTTGATGATGAAATGGACTGTAATGATGGTGATGAACTAGTTAAAGAATAAGAAAAAGAGCACCCGACAAGGTGCTCTAAAGATGCTTGGAAGACAGTAACGCTGTAATTTGTTACGGTCGAGAAATCATATAAAAGGTAGCACATATTCTATCGTAATTCATGTTATGTGTGAACCGCAGACCTTTTTTTACTGGTAACGAGGTATTACAAATTAATCCTTAAAAGGTCAACACATTACGATTCTTAATCGAGAAAAGACGTATGTGTCTATTACGGGTTTGGCTACAGAATCCACTTACATGGATTTTGTGGTCGTTTATCACCCATACTTCTTAAAAAATTATTTCATTGTGCAAACACTTTCTGATTAGAATTTTTCGCAGTTTCATTTAAGTGGGTTAAAATGTAAGTGAGCTACAACTTGAAAATGTAACTCAATGGACGTTGTTTTATTAGCTCGCTTTCGTGTTCGAGTCGAATTTAGTTCCTAATTGGTTTTAAACTAAAGGGGCCACGAGACGGTCAAACGGTTTGAATCAAACCTCACGTGTGATCAAACCGTTTAATGTAGCTTTGAATTCGCTTCAAACAGAAGCGCGCAGTGTGGCTTCAAAGTTCAAACAAGAAAGTCCTATTGTGATTTCAAAAAATGCTGTCGACTATGGATAAAGAGTTTCTCACGTTTGTTGTATTATTTTCTTGCTTAAAAGAAAAAGAATGTGGTTCAAAGAATGGTACAAATTAAGATATGGCGCTTAAACAAAACCAAAATATAAATTTCTATCAAACGAGCTTCAAACACGTAGCGTTTGATCAAACCTGTCATAACTACCAACGGCGTAAGCAATCAAAATGGTTTGACTCAAACCAAAATCTACGTGTTTGAAATTTTGAATCAAACCGTTTGACTGTCTCGGGGCTCCTTAACTTCTCGATGAGCTAGACTTGACGCTTTGATCGTAGCTCAGAATCGGATGAAAATGTAAAAATATAAAAAATATTAATACCAACATTATTTTTGTAGTTTTAACTACTTAGTTTAAATCTAGTAATTAGTATTGGATAACAAAGAATATTTGTCAGTGGATACTACATGAAAAAACACATAGTAATGTACGTGAGGGTAGTATGGTCACCTTATGCTTTGCCGCCCTGTAAAACCAAAACTAGGAGGAGGACAGAGACAAAAACGCAGTCATATTATACTATAACTAATAAATTTAGAAAAAAATTGCGGACAAGATTTCGCAATTATCAGGAACACTAAAAGTCTACTTAAATAAACTAACTACACTGCACTATACTAAAATCGACAAAAATTTTTACTGTAATATCAACTATCAAAATGGCGTCGATAAAGCATTGCCCTTTTGACAATTTTTATTATTTGATTGACACAAAGCCATCTATGCAAACAAGACTGTAGTTTTTGAGTTACAAGAAAGTAAACATATTAACCGGATTATACCACCATATTACTCTCACGTACTTTTTATTTGAAAAATGATCTAAGCGAAATACCTCGATTATTTCTCGCAGATCGTGAAAGATGCACGTGAATATTAACCGTAAATTAAACATACTTTATCAGATTCTGTTGAAAAATCACTGAAGGCTAGCAACATTGACGCGAAGATCTTGCCAACGCCTGTGTTCCAGTCCATGATGTCCGGAGCTAATGAGGAGCAAATTGTCAATTCGGGCCTGGAGTACTCCATGACGAAGGCTTGTCAGGTGCGATTGCTTTTCAGTGATTATCTTTGTCAAGGTGTTTCTAAAATAAATTTTGTAAATACATAGTTTGAACAATCCTTCGATCAACAATACCAACTAGATAACGGATCACGTACAAAATCATAGCTAAATACTGTCCTCATGAATATAAAATATTAAAAAACCATAAATTAAATAACATTTAGTGTGAAATCAACCTCAAATTATAACAAAGTTCTTTTTCCCGTTATTACCTTGCGAGCTACACTCTCACGTGCAAGAGCTGACGTCTCATGTGCACTCTTATTTACTGAGATGGATTTCTTGCGCCGACCCGACATCTAGTTGGTATTGGTGATCGAAGGAACAATCTTTCTTAATGTATAATTTACTTTGAAAAAAGTTCCGTTGGGTTACTTGCTGGTTCTTCTCAGGAAAGAAGTTTTTTCAGGACCAGTGGTAAAGTAAAAATGACTCTTAATAAGAATTACTTGTAATCTTTATTGAAGTAAAAAAATGATTGTTGTAATCTGAGTTAAGCGGACGATATGGTGCTGCTGAGTTCGTCGATCTGCGGCTTGAGGTAGCTGAGGTAGCTGAACAGATATGCGAGGAGTATACATGTAGTCACGGATTATTATATACAATGTTAGGAACAGACATTGATCTTTGAGGCCACGGGTGTTAAATGTCCAGCTAATATACCTCAAATTCAATTAAATCGTACGCCATGGAAAGGGTTTAAACAGTTTAAATATCTGGGGCATTTACTCACCGTCGACCTGAAAGATCATGCTGATATGGATCGGGTGCGAAGGGCGCTCGTAGTGCTGCGCGCCTAAGTTGACGTCATGTAGCCGGCACTAGCGCCATTAACCAACAGCGCCGAATCGTATCGAATTGAAGCACTAAGCTTTCTAGAAGCCTCACACTCGAACTTTCTGCGTCTGGTCGGTCGGCGCTCGTATCTACGGGAATATTCTGGATGTTTCGGCGTAAAAGTGTATTTAAACCCGCTGCATGCCGCGATCGGGGCTTGGCAAGACAAGCGAATCTTCGGAGCGAAATAAAGTGAATCAGTGTGATTAATTATTAGTGTTTTAAGTTTTAATTGGTGTAAAGAAAATTAAAATGTAAATTTTGGTAATTCAATCGGCAATTTTTATTGTCACGAACCTCAAGCTCTTAACAATTGGTGTCAGAAGTGGGATAAAATCATGCCGATTTTACCTAAGGACGAGATGGAGAGTGTCCGTACCCGAAGTCAAGGCCAGCAGGAGACGGACCAGAGACGATTTGGTGGTGCAACGCCACAGACGTCATAGGGCCAAGTGCCAGCCACGGAGGCTGGCCCGTCAGCAGCTCCTAACTTAGGTCCTCTGATGGTGATGCTGCAGGAACAGGCCCGCCGACAGGAGGAACAGGTCCGTCGTTTGGAAGAGCAGCTGCGGGGCGGACAAGAGGAACAGGCCCGTTGGTTGAAAGAGCAGCAGGAGTAACAGGCCCGCCGACAGGAAGAGCAGATGCTTCTCGTGAAGGACATTCACGCTAACTTCGGGAAAGAGATAAGGGAGGTGAAGGATAGGGTTGCTCAACATAACAACCTCCTGTCGGAAGCTGAAACCCAAATCAAGGAAGCTAAAACCCAAATCGACCAAGTGAACAATCGGGTTGATTACGTGATGGCTGACGTGAAGAAAACGCTGGACGACCTCAAACTGGGTGATGGAACTACAGCTCCCGTAGTAGCTACTACACCTTCGCTACGTGGGTTCAAAGTGCCACCGTTCGACGGGACTTCTTCCTGGTCAGCCTACAAAATCCAGTTCGAGGCTGTTATGAAAGGCGTTAAATTGCATTAAGTGCAAAACATCCAAAGTAAATAAGCAGTTTCTTAAATGTTCAGTTTGTGAAAAGCACTACCACATCGATTGTATTAAAGTATCATTCCAACGCTTTCGAATAATGACAGCGGAAACGAAAAAAGCATATAGATGCGATCCATGCTTAAATAAAATGAAATCCCCAGCTACCACTAATGCAATATTACAGGTGTTGTTACAAAATAGCTCTACCCAATCCTATTCGTCCATACTAGATGCGTCTACGCCCCTTAATAATACCCTACCATCGCCGGGAACAAATACTTCGACACAGGATCAGGACTACGTCACCTGCCGCAATAAAAACCGAGTAAATATTCCCACTGACAATTCTTTCGAGGAACTAAACAATGACGAAAAGTTCTTGTCGACGGCATCAAATCCTACTAAAGACACTCAAATTCTATCAGAACCAAAAACTAAAAAAAAACACACACAGTTGAAGAATTATTAGCATAAATAGAAAACCTAGAGTGCAAATTATAGAGCGCAAAAAACGAAATATATTGCCTGACGACAGAAAACCGTTGTTTATGGAAGAAAGTAGGTGAATGTGAATTAAAGTTGAAGAAACTGATATCTGAATCAGATATCATTACTTCTAAATCGCCAAAACCAAATTCTAAAGAAAAGTCGATAAGCAGTGGTGACTTAATGCTTTCACCGCAAAAAGTTAATAGCCAGAGCCCATTAAATAATAACTTATCCACAATGACTAGTGTCGACATTCCTACAAACTCTGATCTTGATATGCACAACAAGCCCAAAGTAGAGAAGGAAGCTGCAAACAAAATTTGTCTACTCAGTACGTCCAGATTTATGAAGACCCGAAACATATTACAACATAATGTACAAAACAACTATGATATATGCCACTATCTACTGACTGATCATGGCATAAGACCACTTCTACTAGACATCGAAAAAAAACAAGAGAATAGAACTGTTTAATAACCTCCTTTATTTGGACAATATGACATATCAATACTCATATTTAATTGACTCCAACTTGAACCTCGATTACAACCATACCATGTTTCATAAGCGCACAGGCCAGATAAACGACTACGGCATGCAGATCATCTTTAAAGACGTCGCTGATCTAATAAAGAACATAGAAGAATACCAAGAAGAGGATTGTGGCAAAATTGTAGTAAACAGTGCCAATGATTTTAAAACCTCTGAAATTGTCTCAAAAAAGGAAGAAACCTTACCGATAAGTAACTGCCTATCATCAAAACAAGAAACAGGGCCTATAACCAAAAGTGGTATTCCCGACAAGACATTTCGTTAACAGTTTTAAATTAACTCTCCAAAATGTTCAGAGCTTAGGAAGTAAAGTAGACTTAATTGAGCATTTATTATTTGATACAAACATTGACATATTATTATTGTCAGAAGTATGGAGAAGTGAGGACTTTTGTGAATCTATAGTAATACCAAATTATAAAGTAGCTTCAAAATTTAGTAGAAAAAAGCATGGTGGTAGAGGTGTTTGTATTATGCTGAAAGATTGTATTGATTATATTGAAAAAATAGACTTGGTTAGTTTTTCCGTAGAATTTACGATTGAATTTTGTTGCAATAGAAATACCGAAGTATAATATTGTTTTAGTCAGCTTATATAGAGCGGATCGTAATATTAATATCTTTTATGAACAATTAAATAAACTACTTAATAGAATACAACCAAATTATAGTCATAAATATGTCATTATTGGGAGTGACTTTAATATAAATGTTAACGATAACAATAGTGATTCTCAGGAACTCTTAAATTTAATGCGTTCTCATAATTTAGCTCAACTTATAAGAGAACCCACCCGAGTCACAAATAAAACAGCCACCTGTATTGATCTAATCTTTACAAACTAATATCTAGTAAAAAATTGCTATGTTATTGATTATGGTTTATCAGATCATAAAGCAACAAATCTAGAATTAAATTTAGAGACGGCGATGAGCAAAAAGCAAGTGTTATTTACAAGAAAAAGGTGTTTTACAAAACAAAACATTAATTCATTCAAAAACTCATTAAATAACGTCGATTGGAATAATATTCTAAAAGAGAACCAAACTGTAAATGAGAACTACAATATTTTTCTTAAAATAATATCAAATAGTTTAAACGAACATATACCTATGATGAAAGTAAAAATAAAAGAACAAAAAAATAAAGGCTGGTTGACAACTGGATTAAAAAAATCTTGTAAGCATAAAAGACTTTTAAGAATAATCCTTAATGAAACAAGAAGTCCAGTTTTTCTTAATTACTATAAAAAATACACAAAAATTCTTAAATGTATATAATAATGTAATGTAAAATGTAAATAACAAATTATCAAAAAAACTACAATACATTAAACAAATGAAAAATTCCAGTAATAAAATAAAGACCATGTGGAACATAATTAATAATAAATTGGGTAGAATAAAAACAAAAAATCTCAAAAACATGATGTTAAATATTAATAATAACACAATAACGTGTCCCATTCAAATTTCTAACCTATTTAATGAACATTTTGCAACAATTGGTAAAACTAATGATATTAATAAAAATCAGTAACAATATAAAAATTCTGTCGAATTGAAAGCGACATGCTCCATGTACCTAACCTCAGTTAATGAAAGGGAAATCCAAAATAGTATAAAAAAATTAAAAACGAAATATAGCTGTGGTGTAGATGATATACCACCGGCGCTTTTAAAACAATGCACTGAAGAATTTGTCTATCCCCTTACTCTTTTTTAGTAAACCAAAGTTTTCAACATGGTCATATTTCCAGACCCTCTCAAAATAGCACTAATAAAACCGTTGCACAAAAAAGAGGATAAAAAAACCCTAACAACTACAGACCAATAGCCTTATTGCCCACCTTTTCAAAGATATACGAAAAAGCAATGTGTAATAGACTCTACTCATTCCTTGAAAAGTATGAAATACTAGATGATAGCCAAAATGGATTCAGAAAATCAAGATCAACCATCCTAGCTGTATATAAGTTCATACAAATGGCCCTACAAAATTTAAATGATAAAAAACATACTTTTGGTATTTTACTTGATATGACGAAAGCATATGACAGGGTGCCCTATGATAAACTACTTTTAAAACTTATGAATTCGGGTATCCGT